TTTTTTGTTTTATATATATATACTAGATCGGTACTAATTTTTCAATTAACTCGTGATATAATTAATAAATTATATTAAAACATATAATAATTAGATAATATATAAATACCATATAATATATCATTATGCTAAATTTGCATATGACAATTAATGAACTGAATTGCATGATTTTAGCTTTAAAATTATTCAACCACTACAAGAAATGTTACAAACAATAACATACAAAAAGTATCACTATAGGTACAATATATGTATGTATATGTCTATTTGACATATAGTTATATATAATTTTGGTGTTGATTTTGAATGAGATTTAACAACGTATTTTATGTCACTATAATCTATACTAGGGATGGCAATGAGGCGGATCGAGTACGGGTTTTATGATATTCGTCCCCGTCCCCGCGACACAAACTCATCCCTGTACCCGTACCCGTATCCGTCGGGTATGTGATTTTCATTCCCATCCCCGTACTCGTAGAAAAATATTATTTTTTTTACAAAAAAATATATAATATTTTTAAATTATTTTTCCATTATATTATAATTATGATTAGATTATTTCTTTATCTCATATTTTAATCAAGAGATTTCTTAATAATTACACAACTATAAATATTTTACATTATAATAAATAATTACACATAATAAAATATTTTTTTTAATATAATTAAATTGAGTACGGGTACGGGTACGAGGCGGGTATGTATATACCCATACCCGTACCCGTACCCAGTTTAATTTATCGGGTTTTACCCGTACCCGTACCCGGGCAAAACAGGTATTCCCCGTCAAAGTTGGGACGGGTTCGGGTATTACCTACGAGTACGGGTTTATTTGTCATCCCTAGTCTATACCCACACTTTTTAATAATATACCAATATATATTGTAGTTATTATGTAGATAAAAGTAATTTTTAGTGACATATATAGTGTCACTATAGTGTGTGTCATTATATGACAATTTTGTTGTAGTAAATTCTTATTCGAAGAAAATAATTTGAAGTTGTGGTTAAAATTATACCAAAAATATTTGATATTTAATTTGCATCATGAATGGAGATTTTCGAGTTTGACTATACTAATTCAAATTACCTCCCTCCATTTCATTTTGACCGAAATTTTTAAGCACAAATTTAGAATAACAATAAATATATTATTTATTTTTTTACATAATTTTATTAAAACAATTTATTTTTCTAATAAATGTATTAGTTTAAATTGTAGTGGTTGAATAATTTATGAGGAGACAAATTAAGAAGAAAAAAAAAGTTAACTAACATTACATTATATTGAAAAGTGAGAATATCATTCATTTTGAAAAAAATTTCAAATGCTAAAATTGTAATCATTGTGGGATAGAGGGAGTACTTATGTATAGAGGTATAAAACGAGTTGAGTTGGCTTGATCCAACCTAACCTACACCGACAAAATGCTATTTTAGGTCAACCTATATTTTCTTGGGTTGCATGGCCCATCCTGGTCCATGTTGAGTAATCGGGTCAAATTGACCTAATTTAAATATTAAATATTTTTAATTATAAAAAAATAAAATTATAACATGATTAATAGATTCTATATATTGTCATGAAACTAGTTGTAACACCCAAGTTTTCATACTTTTTATGGAGGGTAATTTAGTAATTTTCATAAGATTTATTGAGGTGATTTAGTAGCCCAGAACGGGCCGTTCCCAAATTGGAACGGGTCGTTCCAAACTACTAAAAAGACCTAATTTTTGTAGCCCAGAACGAGCCGTTTCCAAATTGGAACGGGCCGTTCCAAACTACCAAAATGACCTATAACCCTAGTTGGGAACAGTCGTTCCAAATATGGACGTTGTGAGTTAAAACTCATCTCTGAAACGGGCCGTTCTGGTTTGAGAACAGGCTGTTCCAGATGTAAATTTTCTGCACGATGAAAGGATCCAGAACGGCTCATTCCGGATCTAAAACGGGCCGTTCTAGCCACTCCTGAAATATATAAATAGAGCACTCTGACACTGTTTCTAGACACACTCTCTGTAGACCAAGGAGAACCAAGAGAAGGAGATCAACCAGATCCAGCTCTAACTTTGTCTTTTTCTTATCCAGGTAAGGGAGGAGTCAGAAACCTCGCTCGGGGTAGTGTGAGAATAATTGTTAAGTAACTGGATTGGCCCCCAATCCCTTGCCTGATGCATGCTTCTAGGAACAGACAAAATATGAACGTTTTTTGTTTTATCATCTGATTGTTCTGTTGGGTTTCTTGTTAGATGTGATGTGTAGATATGTGATTGATTTTGAAAATGAATATGTTTTGATATGAATTAGAGTGCTCTATGGATTCCTACGGGAAACCCTGCAAAATATTAATGTTTTCTGTTTTGCTTTCTGATTGCTTTATTGTACTTTTTGTTGAATGATATGTATGAATATGAGATTAATTTTGAAAATAGATAAATTTTGATATGAATTAGAGTGCTCTGTGAGTTCTTTTGGGAAACCCTGTGAAGTAAAATTAGGAATATGATCTATGGATGATTTGAGGCATTATATGTAAAGTTGATGATGTCTTCATGTTTTGGATAAGTTCTTGGTATGATTTATATACTATTTTGATGTATATGATTACGAGAAGTTTCTTATATGAAACTATGTGAATATGATGTGAGAATACGAAAGGTGAACACATGATCTATGATATGACATTGTGAAATAATGTGACATGAGATATGATGAGATGTGAAATGTGAAATGTTGAGTCAATGAAATCGTGAATGTGTGACATGCGTCATTTTCATTTATGAGCTAATCAGGTGTACCTTTTGGTTACCAAGTGATGTAACCAACTAGTTAGGTGTACCTTTTTTTCACCAAGTGATGTAACCAGCTAATCAGGTGTACCTTTTGGTCGATTAGCTGTACCTTTTGGTCACCAAGTGATGTAACAAGCTAATCAGGTGTACCTTGTGTCACCAAGTGATGTAACAGGTGTACCTTGTGTCACCAAGTGATGTAACAAACTAACAAGGTGTACCTTGGGTCACTAGCGATGAAATGATGAGAAATGAGATTATGAGACACGTGACTGGCACCACATGCATTTATGAGTCGAGTCCATGAGATCATTGCTTGATGAATGACTGTGCATGTGTTATTGTTGTATGTATAATTGGAATTTGTACTTAAATAATGTGTAGCTATGACTGTGCTTGTATGATTGTGTGTGTTGCCTAACTGTTATTTCTACACTTGGAACCGAGTGAGATGTTTCTCACTCCCTTGTTGTCCTTTGTATGTGTTTAAAATTTTGTTGCAGGTGATCATCATCATGAGGATGTTGGTGATGAGGCTTAGGCTTTAGTTGGGCATGCTCTGATAGGATATGTGACATCGGGGCATAGTTAGGCGTAATTAGGATTTCATTATTATATTTTGTTTTGGAAGAACTAATGTTTCGTTTTTTCGCATTTGATCATGTTTTAAGTTGATGAATGTGAATTCTCTAATCTCATGTTATTGGAATT